CTCTCTCTCTCTCTCTCTCTCACTCTCCAGAAAATATGTTGTAAAATTAGTAGGAAATTCTCCTATCAGGGAAATTCAATAGTAAACTGAATAGATAGGTAGATAAATAGATACATAGTTCATAGATTAAGATAGATAGATAGATAGATAGATAGAGTATTTAGTATATTGTATTTACAGTATAATAAAACCAAGTTATCAACTTTATTGTTATGGCAGTTCTGTTAACACTTGTATGTAAACACCCTCATTATCATTTCCCTTTTCTTTTTACATAATTTTAGTTCCACTTTCTTACAAAATTGGGTAATATTTGGTTAAAATGTCAAAACTGAGTAGCACGTTAAGATTCTTTTCATTTGATTTACTTGTTTCCTTAAAATACTAAAGATCTCAAATATCATGCTCAATTGATTTAAAAAATAATAATAGGTAATGTTCTAGAGATAGTGGGCAGAAAATATAGTTGATTCATTTGTGATGTAATATAGAGTGAGTATTTGCATCCAAATAAAATAGTATGTGCTTTGATTACACGTGGACTTGTGAGTGCAAGTGCAGCACACACAGTCTGTCTATTATAATGCTGGTAATTAATCTGTTTATTATTATGTTGGAACTACTCATATTATATTGTTATAAATGACAAAAATAATTCTGGATGCCAGTTTTTATTTTTACATTTTAATTAAAAAAATATCAAAGAAGGGGAAGAATAAGGGACTAAAATGCTGAGAGTAGCCTGTTTTTATCTCTAAAATTTAAATTTAATATTTAAAACACCTCTTTTAAATCTTATGTTTGGCAGAGGTTCCCCTAAATAATGGGGTGTGGTATTGTGTATATCTATCTATCTATCTATCTATCTATCTATCTATCTATCTATCTATCTATCTATCTATCTATCTAGGTATTGTTGCCTGGTATAGTGGCAAACGTGGTAATTTCTCAGTAATGAGGATCAAAACACTGCAGCATCAGTTGATAGACAATTTCTGTTGATGAAAAGAAAAATGTGCTGCAACCCAACCATTTGATGAAAATGGAACCAATCACTTATAATGTAAACATTTTATTTGGGTAAATAATACTAAAGAAACAAATCCTACCTATTAAAGGATATTATGTAGATAATGGACATTTTATTTTATCATCCATGACTGCTTTATATTACATACATCTTTTACCTGTCCTATCACAATAAAGAACAGAGCTGCAATATTTGCAATCAGAAAAGCATGAATGCGTTATAAAAAAAAATCCTATTTGTCACATTAACACACAGGATCTGCTATGGATGTCTTCCTGGAAAATACTTAGCTTAGTGAATAAAGTGAAGGCACATTCACTTGACTAACCAATCATGTGCAGGATAGGTAAAAAAAAAACCAAAACAAACATGATTTTTGGTTTCTTGTATGAATATATTAGAGTGAAGTGAACACAGCTTCACCTTTTTCACAATCCTGAGTGAACATTCTCCTTTAGTAAATCAATCTCATTGTGACAGTGCTAAGGCAAACTCTAATGAAACACAATAGAAATGTTCAGTGAATTGTTAGTTGTGGCACACAAAGTAGCTCTGTGATTTCATCCTTGTGTAGCACAGGGACATTGTAAATATGTAATTTACTTATAGAACCTTCTAGGACAAGTCACAAAATGTATGTTATTACCCAATTTAAACTCATTATTGATAGCAGGACTGGGTCATTTCTGTAACGGTAAAATTATAATTTCATTAAACCTAACATGTATCATATTCCCAGTAAAATAAACATTTTATTTTATTATTAACAAAGTTACCATATTTGCAATCAGATACCCCAACATTATTAAAAAATGACAGTTTGCAAACTGACTCAGGAATATAGATCCCCCAAGTTCTGACATACAGAGTTCCCCTATACCCAGCTAGTACATTCAGCTTGTTTTCCTCTCTGGCTTTATTGCTTTATACATTATGCATAGCTGATCGGAGTCTGGTTTAAACTAGTGCAGCTAGGAAATGTTTCCATTTCCATAAAGTTACTTACATGGATTGGGTGTTTGGAATTAATTCAGATTCACTTCACCAGAGTAAACATGTAGAAAGTGAGCCCAATAATGTCTCATTAAACAGGATTTAGAAAGGAGATTTTCTCCTGTCTGCAGTCCTTATTTGTAACATACATATATGAGATCTATTATATAAATATTTCACCATGTACAGTATTATTATCATGTTTTTTTTCCCACTCTGGAGGTAAAGCTAACCCCAGGATAATTATACCTGAGCATGCAACAATTCAGTAATTAGATGAGACAGTGACAGTGTTTTTAATGGTTTAGAATAGTACAAATCTCACTCTAGGCACAACCATTGTGAATGATTCCCTACAGCATCTAATATAGAAAAGTCTAAATATCTTCTGAGGCTTATGAAGAGTTGGGAATTCATAGAAGATGTCAGTCTCTGATTGTTCTAAACTGGCAACATGATCTATATAATTAAAGTGATCTCTATTATACAATTCCTATTCTGCTTTTTCACAGTGTGTGTGATTTTGCTTTGCATGTGAAAAGATGCTTTAAGCTGCTCATACATGTTTTTTTTTATGTGACCATGAGACATACACATAATGATGCTGGTTTACTAAAGGAGTTGAGAATGAATCATGTGAAGATTCACTTCAATTATCCAAATATATGAAAAGCAAATCCCTGTTTATTTTATTTGTCTGCAGATGATTGGATAAATAAATATTCACACAAAGTTTTGTGTGATCATTCTCCACTCCTTTAGTAAATCAGCCTCATATATTGTTTACTTTCATCAGGGATTATTATTGGTTTTTATATAACGCTGACAATGTACACAGCGCTTTATATACTGCACACTTACATTAATCACATTCCCTCTAGGAGTTTACTATCTAAGGTCCCTATGTTGGCTGTGTAAGTGGCAGCAGATTATATGCTGTCATCATTTCCAGAGAAGAACTACTGGAAACTGGGTGAAAATTTCCAAATAGACCAACAAGCTTTTCAGATATTTTTTCAGACTTTGGTATCACTTCCATCATATAAAAATACCATTCTACAAAGGCATCAGATGAATTTGTAGCAGATATAAGTCTCTCTCCCTATATATGTCTCTCTTCATGTATGGTCAGCAATTGCAGTATAGGAAGCAGACAAATGCATACTCAGACAGCAAGTAAATAACAATTTGACTATAAATGTATAAAATGGAGATCTACTAAAGTTCAATAGTAGCAACTCTAATAATCCAACACAAACGTGAGCCAGCTTCATGAAAGATCACACTGATTAAATGATGCATCCCTCTAGAGTGTAAGGATAAATCGGCATTGCATTGTGTGTTTAAAGGACTCCATTTGAGCAATCCAAAGAATCTTCACAGTATCCTTGGATTATCAATAAACACAGTAGATGCCTGAGTTGAAACGCCACACCAATTGAAACGCTCCAGGTACAATTTCATTCCATTAGGGTCAGGGGGACATTCAAGTAGGATTGTCACAATGAAACTGAATGAAACTGATAAGGGGGGGGGGGGGGGGGTTGGATCCCTAAAACATGTTGGCTACTCTGCTTGAATGTCCCCTGATTCTAATTGAATAATGTTGTACATGGACTGTTTTGATTGCTGTGGTGCGTCATATCTTACATGTACTGAGAATACAATAGCCGGCAGGGGAGATTCCTCCAGCCACGCTGTTTGGCATGGATGGGGGAATCAAGTAAATCTTTTCCTGTATGGCCAGCTTTAGCTGTGTCCACTTTGAATAGGTAATAAAGTACAAAGGAAATCAGACATTTTCACATGACTGGGTGATTGTGGTGAACCCAGCTTCACGTCATTCAGTAAGCTAAGTGAACATTCACTTTACAAAGTGAGCATGCTTGGTCTATTCCTATAGTAAATAAACTCCAGTGTCTTATTGATATATATGCAGTGTAATGATACTGTAACTATGCCAGCCTATCTCCCATTGTCATCTATCACCAGGTTGAGCTATGTTTTTATAACAGATATGTTTTCAATAACACAATGAGCCTTTATAGAAAGTCTGGTGACTGTAAAAAAAAAAAGGTGACATTTATATTTCTTACTCTAAATCTGCTTCCATTCTCTCCTCAGCCTCAGAGAAGTCAGCATGCCCATCTCTGGAAGATTCTCCACCTTTCCCAGCATCCTTTAAGTCTTATGCGTGGAGCAACTTGGTTGGCTCTGAGCTACGACAGCTGGTGCAGAACTACAGGCCATCAGGAATAGAGAGAAGTTCATCCTTAGGATTCTATGGAGAAAGGGACCCTCCTGCTCATCCCTCACCTTTGTACAGTTCGGAAAGGGGTGTTCATGGACTATATGGGGACTATGCACCAGGAGTGGCTCACTATGGAGAGTCCTGTTCTGCCAATGCATTATACGGAGAGAAGACACAAGGCATCAAGGTGGAGTCCGACCTGCTGTGTACACGTCTGCTGCTTAACACTGGCTCCTACAAATGTCTCAAGTGCAGTAAGGTATAAAAACAATAAATATGCCTAAACGATTTTGCAACCCACATGCTTTAACTTTAATTCATTTTTGTACCAATAAATTGATTCAAATGGGAAATGTGTGATGTCCCACAAGATTGACTTATGCTATCTTTGTTGGCTGGAGTTGGCAATGGTTCATATTTAATCAACCCCCTATGTCTTATTATTTACTCATAGGTGTTCTCCACACCTCATGGACTGGAAGTTCACGTACGTAGGTCACACAGTGGGACAAGACCATTTGCTTGTGAAATGTGTGGGAAGACGTTTGGCCATGCTGTCAGCTTAGAGCAACATAAGGCTGTCCATTCTCAGGTAAGAAGAGAGAACAACTTGCAAAAATGCTTAGTGAACCTGTGTTTGCCCAAGCAGGGATAATCAAGAGGTTTACTTTTATCCCACCCTTCCCCAGTAGAATATACTAATTTTTCATTTACTCTCCCGCTGCCTTGTTCAGCTGGCATAGCTGACCTCTTTCTGAAAATGCCAGTTGCCTGGTTTGTATAATGACCTTCTAAGGTTTATTTAAGAAAGGAGCAGAGAGTATTCGCTTTAAATATTTAAATTAAATAAGGTGCTTTTTAATACTATAAATATCTGAGACACATTTCTACTGTACTTTCTCACCAGCCCGAAATGAGAGGTTTCAGGTAAAAAGAAATACATTTAAACTGTGTTAAGTTTCACCAAAGAATGGAAATATTATATATGAAATAATAGTCTTAAAAGTGTGTAAACAAAGACATACTTTACGTTTAATAGAATTAGATACCAGGGAAATAATATGTGAAATGTTTCCTGCTGGGGTCTCAGTGAATTCTGTTCGTGTGTAATATTATGTACTGTAGCGTACTTGTTGGTTTTTATGTGTATTATAGGCATCAATAGGTTTGTATTTATTCTTTTTGCAACGTATTTCCTGCAGGAGAGAAGTTTCGATTGTAAAATCTGCGGTAAAAGTTTTAAGAGATCATCAACGCTTTCCACGCACCTACTTATCCACTCGGACACAAGGCCGTACCCCTGCCAGTACTGTGGCAAGCGTTTCCACCAAAAGTCAGACATGAAGAAACACACGTTCATACATACAGGTGAGTGTATGTGTATGCTGAAAATCCTGTCACTGAGACAGGTCGAATGTCCCCCTAACCCTCACTGAATAAAGTTGTCACATAATCCTCAAGCTGGCCATACACTAATAGATGTGTTCAGTCTGCAGATATTGCACTATATAGCGTAGATGGACGAATCTCCCGCTGTGGCTATTGTAGTCTGACATTGGCGAGTATGTTGCTGTCAAAATACCTGAACACTGACTACATCTGCTTAGCTGCAGTCACTGTCCAGCTGAGAATTTTAAGCCTGGCTCCTTTGATTTTCAGATCAATAGATGTTGGGCAGGTGTATGCTGACAGTGCCATCCACAAAGCAAATTCGGGGTGGAACAACTGTAATTTGCTTCGTGTATAGCCAGCTTTAGGTTGCCTAACAAACCTTATATTGCCACAGGCACACACACAAAGGCTTGCTTTCCTAATGGAGTTTATATTGTTCATTTTGCAAAATGAATGGTCAATTAGATTAGTGAATGAGGAGAAGCTGTTGTCACAACCGTCCAATCATGCACAAGCAGAAATCCTGTTTTTTAAATTTCCTTGCACAAGAAATGCTATTCAAAGTGAACACAGCTTCTCCTTAATCAGCAAATAGTCATGACTTCTTTAGCAAAGAAACTGAAGATTCAAGAGTCAAAAGTCTGCTTCTATAGTTACCCCTGACTCAGCTTAAAGTAAAAAAAAAAAGAGAGCATTGATGGAGTTCATTTTATTGATAATATTATCTGATAAAAAAATATAATAATCTGGAATGTAATCATAGTGAATGTGTCCTTTATGAAAGAAATTGGTGAGCAAAATCACATATTGTAAGATGACAAGGGAATCTAACATCATTTTATTGTTTTATTTCCCTTTTGAAGAGGAAGTTGCAACAACTTGATTAGGATTGAGGTTTTCTATATAAGTAGTTTTACATCTGTGCATAGCACTGTGTTGCTGCCAGTATTTGCATTCAGCCATGCCTTTAAATCATATCCCTTGGCTTATCTCAGCACGTAGGCATTTAGAAGTAGTAGAAGCTGTGGGGGTAGCAGTAGTGGTGGTGTTAATAATATGTAGCTACAGTATTACAAGCAGTAGTAGTAGCACCTGCAATGGTAGTGTACTAATAGGAGTAGCTACAGCATTACAAGCAGTAGTAGTATGACCTGCAATGGTGATGTACTAATAGGAGTAGCTTCAGCATTACATGCAGTAGTAGCAGTATTAACAACAGCAGTGGTTGTAATAGGAGCAGCTACAACCTTAGACACAGTAGCATTACAAACAGCATCATCAATAAAGTAGTAGTAATAGTACTAGAGAAAGCATTGGAAGCAGTAGTAGTAATAAAAGTAAGCAAATCATTGCAGACAGTCGTAGCAAAAGAAGAACAGACAGCATTAGAAATAGTAGCAAAAATAGTAGTAGATAAACCGCAAGACAAAGTAGTAATAATAGCAGTAGAGACATCATTAGAAGCAGTAGTGGTAGTAGTAGTAGATATAGTATTAGGAGCAGAGGTATTATTATTAATAGAGACAGCATTAGAGTTAGTGGTAGAACTAATAGTAGAACTAATAGTAGCCACAACATTATAAATAGTAATAGTAGCAGAGACAGCATTAGAAGCAGTAGTAGAACTAACAGTAGAGACAATATTATAAACAGTAATAGTAGCAGAGATAGCATTAGAAGCAGAAGTAGTAACAGTAGTAGACACAGCATTGAGATCAGTAGTACCAATAGTAACAGTAGTAGATACAGTATTAGGAGCAGTAGTAGAACTAGTAGTAGAGACAGCATTAGGAGCAGTAGTATAACTAGAAGTAGAGACAGCATTAGGGGCAGAGAAAGTAACAGTACTAGGCAATGCAATAAAAACAGTAGCAGTAACAATAGTGGTAGTAATAGTAGTAGTAGTAGAGACAACATTAGAAGCAGTAGTAGTAATAGTAGAGATAACATTAGAAGCAGTGGTAGTAATAGTAGTAGTAGTAGAGACAACATTAGAAGCAGTAGTAGTAATAGTAGAGATAACATTAGAAGCAGTGGTAGTAATAGTAGTAGTAGTAGAGACAACATTAGAAGCAGTAGTAGTAATAGTAGAGATAACATTAGAAGCAGTGGTAGTAATAGTAATAGCAGAGACAACATTAGGAGCAGTAGTAGAACTAGTAGTAGAGACAGCATTAGGGGCAGACAAAGTAACAGTACTAGGCAATGCAATAAAAACAGTAGCAGTAACAATAGTGGTAGTAATAGTAGTAGAGACAACATTAGAAGCAGTAGTAGTAATAGTAGAGATAACATTAGAAGCAGTGGTAGTAATAGTAATAGCAGAGACAACATTAGAAGCAGTGGTAGTAATAGTAGTAGAGACAACATTAGAAGCAGTGGTAGTAATAGTAGTAGAGACAACATTAGAAGCAGTAGTAGTAATACAACCAGGATTATGAGCAGTACTATTAGTAATAGTCTAAGTAGAGACAACATTAGAAGCAGTAGTAATGATAGATGTAGATGCAATGCACCCCTTGGACTGGCATAGTCCATATTGCAGTATATTTCTCTGAAAACAGATGAATAATGATCACTCTAGAGATATAATAGATAAGCACAGAAGAAGGCTGTTAGAGTAAATGGGTGTGGGGTTATGCATCTTACCACACTCTGTTTTCTGTAAAGGGTTTGGTGTTTTTCTTGAAATGTCGTTTTATGACACAGAGTCACGTTTTATTGCTATGTGAACTACATGGCTAAACATTATGTACTCTGCCTGGTCCTGCTATTGTTCATAAATGACAATCCCATCATCACCGTGCAGAAGTCTGTGTATGATCAATAGTTGCGGAGAGATTGTTAGCATCTGTTGATGAATTGAATCCTAGCAATCCAATCAATGTGGCTTTAATATGATCCTCCCTGTGTTTGTTTAGAAAGGCTTTTCTGTAAGATGATTTGCAACCTATTATGTGTGAGGCCTTGATTTAAAAGGCCACTGAAAATGACAGGTGAGCAAAACTAACAGATGCAATGACCAGTACGCCCATCCACCCTGACAGCCCATTATATTATGTAGCCGAATGCACTGAAATGGGGGCTCTTTGGCTTGTTCAGGACTAGCATGGACTATGGTATGTTACTTTGGAAGACTTTTGTCTTCTGATCTGGCAGTATAGAGATTAAACAAATGTCCTTTTGTTGAGGAACACATGGAAACATTATGAGTTATGAGCACTATTGGAGTTAAGTGCTTTTGTCCAAATCCAAATATTTGTCTAACAATTGTAAAGCTTGTATACAGCGCGATCATACAGAGTGCTTTACGTGCACATTGAATGACTACTGACAGTCTGCTCATGCTGCAATTTATTTAGTTGTATCAGTAACCCACAGCAGCCAATCAGAAATAGTCACTTAAATGTGGTGACCCCCAATACGCTAAAATCTGATTGCTTGCTTGGGGGTTACTGTCCTTAATGCTTTTTGCACTGCTTTGCATCCTAAACCATGTTGAGTTTTAACATTTTGTAGGTTCAGATGACAATGCTAATTTTTCAGTACATGGGCAAATAGGTAGGAAAGACAAATACAAAGCATCCCCATTGTTTTGTGAAGGGCAGTCATTAGAAACCTTTTGTAATAGAGTCTATAATAGGCTGAATTTAAACTCATATTTATTTCAAACAATTACAATCAGTTTAAAGCCAAGACATAAAGTGACAATATAGGATCCCTGAGAGAAAGAACATTTTCTTCCTGCACAGTATTATAATGTAGTTTGCTAAAGTGCAGTGAGGAGAGACAAACTCAGAATGAATATGCCGTCTGTAACCTGGTCCTGCAGCGGCTCATATATTGACTGCATTGGGTTTCCATGCATAGACTGCAGTGTCTTTCTGCAACATCTCTACCTGCATGAGTGCATAATATTGTATCAACAGAAAGACACTGTTGAGAGAAACACTCATCTCTGGCTATAAAATGAGTCCTTAGCTAAGGCACCATTCACACCAGGACGGTTCGGCTGCGCGGATTTGGCCGAACTGAACCACTGGCATGAACGATCTCATACATTCGTATGGGGACCATTCATGCGACCACGCAATCCGAACCACCTGCCGCCCGAAATGCTCCCTGACCCATTTTTTCCGTGCTGATCAGCGCGGTTTCCATATAGATTTCAATGGGCTGAAACGGAATTAAACACGCCCAAATCCGCACGAGACCCGCGCTGATCCGCAACCGCCCTTGTGTGAACAGGGCCTAAAATGTGTTAATTCTTTTTCCATAAATCTCCCATTAAAGTGTTCCTTGCATTAAGAAGAAGCACACCTCATATGAATCAGTAGGGCTCTATTGTATGATATATAACTATAGCTGTTAAGTGCATTGGAGGTGTTTGACATCAATACAGACCTCAGAGAGTCTATTGTTTCTGTCAAACAGACGTTATCAGCAAGATAAGAGGACCAACATAAATCAAAGCAGCTTATGCAATAAGAAATGGGCTATAGGCTATGGTCTATATAACTTATATAACCATATTTCTTGCATAGTGTCGCCCTGCTGGCTCAACAAAATTTGATTACTCAAATGACTTTTGTCAAAGGAGTCGGGCCAAAAATGTTCAGCGAACAGTTACTGCAGCCAATCAGCCCAGGTTCAGGTATTCTGACAGCAGCCGCCTCAAGCTGCCAGGATAGAATGGTTGTGGTGGAAGATTTACCCATCTACATTGTTTAGAGTAGTTTTCGTTCCAAATCGAAATTCGGAGATTCGGATGTATCCAAATTGCGAATTACAGGTATAACGAATGCAAACGAATCAGAATTTCCGATTCGTTTTTTTTTGGACGAACTTTCGTTTTTTTTTGGACGAAAATTTAGTTGCAGCAGTGACATTTGAGAACAAAAAAACTTTATTTCCATCTTAAATGTCACTTTGCTGCAACAAACGAACGAAACGAAAACGACACGAAAACGGAACGAATTTTTGTACGGATTTCCGCTAACGAATTTTCGTCCGAATCCGAATTCCGAAACAAATTGACTTTCGGACCCGAATTCCGAAAAGCAAAATCCGAATCAAAACAAAACGGAACAAATTTTTTGCTGGTGCACATGTCTACTGTTTTTGTAGTAATTTGCACAATTTTCCCTCACTTCCTTCCAGTTGAGACAGGAAGTAAGCAACATTTCTACAACAATGGCACAAACAGTGGTAAAAGTAGAGTGGAGAAGGACAAGAACCTCTGATAGGCTTTTATTGCTGCCTGTCTTAACAGGGATAAAGATAGCAATCAAAAAGTTGAAAGAACTCTTCCCCACTCTAACCAAAACCACAAAAAATGAAGTTGATCTCTAAAGCAGATAACCGGTTCTTCATGATGGACAAATGGCATGATGCATGTTCTATGAAGTAAAAGGTATACATGTAGTTTTACTGAACATATGTTTCTATTTTTGTGCAGGTGAGAAACCTCACAAGTGTCAAGTATGCGGCAAGGCATTCAGTCAAAGCTCAAACCTGATTACTCACAGCCGGAAACACACCGGCTTCAAGCCTTTTGGTTGTGACCTGTGTGGAAAAGGCTTTCAGAGGAAGGTGGATCTGAGAAGACATCGTGAAACACAGCATGGACTCAAATGATCAAGAAATGAAAACGTCCCTGTTCCACACAGGAAACCTTTTGTCATGCGAGAACACTAGGTGAACTTCATCATGAAATCTGTGGTGTTGACTCATTGACCACTAACGAGGGTGGAATATGCAGAAATCTCAGTTTGGAGATTGTTCATTCAGTTTACCATCAGCAACCTTACTTTCTGAAGAAGCAGGTCTTCTATAGCTACGACCAGCAGGAAACACAAAGGTCCAGATTCCGACCTTCTGTCTACAAGCATACAGAGGTCAAGTTACATAGTTATGAACTTTGATGTTTTGGACTATACTGGATACATGCAGACAGTCCATGACAATTCGGTCATCATGGAGTGATTCTTCAGTGCAGCAGACTATGGGTGGAAAATGGAAACCCCTTTATATTAAGCTGGAAATATTATTTGGCATGTTTCTGTTTTTAGATCTTGTTGCTTTAATTCATGTGTAACGTGTCCCACCTACAGAACTCACACATTTCTTTCTGAAATTATGCCTATAATATGTTTGGTTGGAAACGTTTTCTTTGGAGTTAAACAGATTGCTTAGGCTGTATGGCCTGAGGTTGATTACAACAGGAGGGAATTAAAGGTGTTGCCCATTTTAATCTAACCAGGGCTGGATTTATCATTAGGCAAAGTAGGCATGAGCCTATTGGCTGCAGAGACGAAGAGGCAGTTTTTCCCCCCTTTTTTTTACTAGAAATACACACTAACTTTTTAATATTCTAAGACCCTTAGAAGCAGGTGTAGGTAGCCTTGGCATTCCAACTGTCGTAATACTACAACATACTATAGAATTCTATATGGTACATATTGAAGAGAAAAAAACCCTCCTAGTGAGAACTGCAAAAGAACATGCACAATAAAATGGGATAAAATAGAACTCCGGCCAAACAGCTAAACACACGTTTGAAACAGATTTGTTCTGCCAAAATGCTTCTAATTCTCTTCAGTTTAGCTCATGATTCACACACCCCCGACTACATTGCATATTCAGGAGGGTGAAACCACTGTTCACTGCTGCAGCTCAGCAGATTCCCATGTCACGTCCCCTTTCCAGCCTACCTAATGACCTCCTCTACCCTCGTATGAGATACCTAGGTCAATTTCCTAAATTGTGTTGGGTCATCATCAAATAGAAATTAAATTAGAAGATATTGAAGTCTCAAAGCTGAAAAGCTATTTCCTGATTTTATTTATGGTGTACATGGTCAGCTGTACCGGCCAAAAACCTGACTGAGCTTTCCAGACATGTCCAATAGATTTTCAATGCCTCTCAGGTCTACAATCTGCTTTAAATTATTTAGTGCTACAATAAAAAAACAAAGTCTGACAGTAGATGTTAGGCAGTTAAACTACCTTTTTTTTTATAAAATACACTCAATGATAGCACATGACTGGACTTCAATTTAATTTTTGAGAGAGAGAGTTATTATTATTACAGGTATTATTATTACAGGAATAATAATACCTGTAAAAAAAGTCACACACTCTAATAATACCCCAAAAAAGTCACACACTCTAATATTTAGTTGGACCGCCTTTAGCTTTGATTATGGCACACATTCACCGTGGCATCATTTCAATAAGCTTATGCAGTGTCACAACATTTATTTCAATAGAGAGTTTCATTAATGTTTCACCAAGATCTTGTAGTCTTCTCCAGCACATCCCAAAGATTATCAATGGGGTTAGGGTCTGGACTTTGTGGTGGCCAGTCCATGGGTGAAAACGACGTCTCATGCTCCCTGTTTGAGGCCAATGAATCCTGGCACTGTCATTTTAGAAAAATCTTGTGCCATTAGGGAAGAGAAAATCCATTGATGGAAAAACGTGGTCATTCAGTATAATTAGGGAAACAGCTGACCTCATTTTATGGGCACATAACGTTGCTGAAATTAGACCTGACCAACTGAAGCAACCCCAGGGGGTGACTTTTTTTTTGGCCAGGCAGTGTATATCAGTGATCATTTTAATTTCAGATCTTTCCAAGTCTTGTATTTCAAATTATTATTTTTTCTTTCCTGAATGTAGCAAGTACTTTTTATTCGTCATTAGATTTCCCCAGGGTGATAAATGCTGCTACACATCTTCCTGTGCTGGGTATTTTCCCAGTGAATATTTGAGGCATTGGCAAGTTTCAGGTAAAGGTTGTAAAAAGATGATAATGAAATGTTTAGGCTAAAGAATGAAAACCAAAGATAAAGAAACCAGACAACTGCCTGACAAGGTGGGAGTGATTTACTAAAGGGGTACATTTTTCCCTTAGCCAACTGAACATTCACTTTTGAGCATCCAATCATGTACAGGGTGATGAATTAAATAAGATTTATTTTTTGTATGTGATTGAAGTATATTCAGTTTTACTACGGTAAGTGACGATTATCCTCCATTAGTAAGTGCATGGGTCCTGTTTAGAGGAAGATGGAGTTTGGTATTCTAACAGGACATGTGTCCACACTCTCAGAATTCATTAGTGAAAACGTTTGCCTTAAACAGAATTTCCATATTAATAAATCGGTAAGGTTGTTACTTGTAAGGTTGTATGTAAATATTTATATCTATATATAAATCGGCACTGGCCGTTTGGAGTGTTATTGTTTTTTGATGCCTATTTATTTGGAAATATGTTTTAAATTAATAAAGCCATTTTTCTTGATGGGTTATTGAAATCATAAAAAACTGTATGAGAAATTAAATGAACAGTACAGCTTATGGCTAGCAAGGGCCATGTGCACCAATGCCATCCTGGTAAGAGAACTGCTTAAGTCAAATCCCAAAACCTGCTACTGGTTCCTCACTGCAAAATAAAAGACCCTGAAACTAAAGCTCGCTTCCAAAACCCCCTTAAAGAGCAAATGAACCCTGGCAGCTGTGTCCAAAAAGAAGCAAACAGAGGGCAAAGCACTAGTCCAGCATTGTGTATGACTTGTTCTGTACTGTGTGTCTGTATGAAGGTGGCCATCTTGGTAGAGTTGTCACCAAGACAGGAAGAGAGGAAATCTGTCTAACTAGGACAC